TCGTTCAATACAAGTTTGCAGCTACACTTGGAAGGAGTATCGTTGGATAAACCTTCACCCATGAACTCACTTAGGGAGAACTGAGCTAGCCAAAACTTTCCCACCTCAGTAATGTTAAAGGGCCCGGAAATGTTGTATAAAATATATCACATTCGAATCGCCACGGGATCATTTACATCATCCTCACGACTAGAGAAAACCACAACACTACACGCCTCAAATGACATTTTCTCTAAACATATTAGTCCCTTGAGTCAGAATATATTTTCAAAAGACCACTTGAGAATGAGAGAATGGAATCATACGACCGAGTGAGTAAACTATGGACATGGCACGGCGCAGAGATTCCGAGGCGGAGAAAACATGTCCTTAAAATATCTAAATGCGATTGCCCACAAAAAGGTTCAAATCGCTCGAGTAAGATTTGGCTCCGGTCTACCTTTGATTTCAATTCACGCAACATTATTTATAGCAGATTTAAAATACGGGACGTTTGTTTGCCGTACTTCCTACGGTTTATCGCCAAAATGACGGTAATTTAGGCTTTCTAAATATTCAACAACCGGGCATGGAGCTAAAAATGGATTTGTAATGAGAATAAGATAGGAAGCCAGCGGAGAAGCACTGCGTCACATGACAAGGAAGTCTCGGGACGATTGTCGAGGTGGGGTACGGACAGGCGTCTCCTCAAAAACCATATCGGGTTTTTGAAAAATAGATTATCGCCCCAACCTGTTGAATCAGCGGTTAATCAAATGCCTCTCTTTAGAAAGTATTCGTTGCTAGATTACCGATGTGGAATTTGAGCGGGTGTACTGAAGATGTGAAATGCATTTGTCAAACCTGACATGTAAATCTATGTAACATATAAAATGCCTCTCAATCATTCATATTTTGATTTATACGATTGTACAATGATATATTATGTATAGCTTCATATCAGGTTTAACAGCCCTCATTGTCAAAAGAGTATTTCGATTTTTGATGAAAGTTGTTCTTGAAAAGTGTTAAAGAAATATTCCCTATTAAAAAATAGCAGTGCATATCTTGTTTGTCAGTGTTAACATATTCTAGAGATTAGTCTTTTCCTCTCTACAAATTTTAGAACGAAAAAAAATATATTTAATATTTTACTGTCTAGCTTGTTAATTTCATAATACTGTTTTTCTGGTATATTAAGTATATGTATTATTTTGAAACTTTAAAAACATAACTTCTGTAATTGTATAAGGTAAATAGCAGTTGAAGTTGACACAACACATTTAATACTTGTATAATACACCATAAATATATTTTACTCTAGATCATATTAGAGAATTTTAAAACCATAAAGATGACGATATCTAATAAAAATGTGAATTCACATCTAAACATATTCCCTGTATTTGTGTGTAAGTAAACCCCCAGATATATAAGTGTAACTTAATTCATTTCATTTGCATCAAGTAACGCATAGAAACAGAACCGGAAACAACCAAATAAAGATTTTAACAAATTTGCAATAATGAATCTTTTTCAGTATTGGATAGGCTTTCGTTTATTATGTAATCCAGTGTTGGTCACACTAATCATGATTTTTACCCATTGACACTTCCATAGGGAACAGATCAATTGATAACCACATTGGCATACTTGTGGCTAATAAGTATAAGTGATATTAGCATCTATTCCCGGAATTAATGTATACCAGATCACTTAGTACAAACTCCTACTCATCAATCATTTTGAAAATGTCCCCACCTAAATATGATTTTTTCCAGGATCAGAATAAGTCGGATAAAAATCAATAGGATATGTTAAGAGATTTTTTTATATTTTTACCTAGCATTACACAACGAAACCAGTAGCAACAACTACCAGCAAATCAATATCATAAAATAACCTACCAGAGCTAAGCAGGATTCATGTCACATATGGACTTATGCATTTTATGTTTTATTAACAGTTCGTTTTCAGACGTTGTTTACTTATTTATTTATCTATTTTTCCTGTGATGCACTGTTTGCAATGAAAACTCATTTATATTGATGCTCATTTAATCTAAATTTCAATATTTTATTGCTGCTTTGTAATTAAATACAAATCTGAAGGCAGATAACAGAGAAACAGACGGACAAGTATACACATGTGCATCCATTAGATGCAATTTTGAATCAACATTTAGATAATCATAACTTATGATTGTAATATTCATCCGTAATAATAATATATCAATAGTGTATTTTCAAATCTCTGTTTGAATTTTACATAGTGTAAATCAAATATGCATTTTATTATGATGAAAATAAATGTAACACTGCGCATTCTAGCTTATATATGTATAGCAGGTGAGGTAGCTAGTGTGCATAGCTTTGAAACATAAAATGTATATTTAGATATTGTTTTATCTGATCCATACGTGTCATTTTCACAGAACATATTTTTAGATGTACACTCACCTGTTGGTAAAACAAGATCTTCTTCAAATCAGAAATAAACACGGTTTTCGAAATAATTATCTAAATTTGATTTCCATTATTTGTCTCTAAGAACACATCATATTTACATTTATTAATGAGTTCAGATTGTGCTTTCAGGAACACTGTCTTTTCACATTTTAAAATTGTCATGTCAGTTGTAAAAATGTGCATGTATTATAATTTGATTTACTTTTCAGTATATCATTTAAATCAAAACCTATTTAGAATTAAAACACATTAACATTTTTATATATTAATGTATGTGATATATTTTGGAGAACTGTGTAGTATTGCTATCTACAACATAATGTAAATAATCTATATCTATATGTATATATTTGTGTATTTCTAAGTACTGTTTTGCTTATTACAGTAACTTTATGTTACCCGTTACATTTATTGAACATTCAGTTACCTCCCCAATAAATTCCTACCCTTGTCATCCACTCCCGGTTTGCTAGCAAATACAGTTCTAAGAAAATTTGATTATTTTGTAAAACCATTAACTTTGCCCTTGATCAGTCTACTAGAAATAAAACATCTCAATTCCAGGCTAGCCATATTCTTTTTATTTTAATGATTTTAAATAGTTGTGAGAATTTGGTTGAAAAAAATAAAGCAATTTTCACACGGAAACGATTAAAAATATTCATAAAAAACCTAATAAAACTAATTGAAGACATGCCGTTTCAATAATGGAAAACGAAAAAAATCTAAAACCGTTCCTTGTAAATTGTACTGGGGGATCGCTTACGGTTAGAAAACAGTTCGTTCCTAATAAATCAATTATAACTTTAATGGCTTGTTCAAAGGTAAAATGGGTGTTTTTACCAGGTTCGGTGTTGAGTGAGTGCCCCAAACACGTGGAGATATACAGATGAGCAGAACAGTTCATAAACAAGTTCCAACCTCATGAATCAATTAAAATATTTCACGCTTTCTAAATCATTCATTTTCATATTTTTAGAACTTGCTTCAAACATATCCTCTATGCCATTTATGAATTACGGCCATGGGTCAACGATAAGCTGGCGTTAATACAGTGAGAGGTTGGCGGTCATAAAAAGACGGGTTGCCACCTCATAAACAGTCTATGACTGACCATAAACGTCTAGGGTAATGAGCGACTAACAAACTCACAGAATTACAGAGCACGCCTCCTGCCCGAACAAGTCACAAACAAAACGTAGAAGAGCTACTTTCATACGGAGTGAGATATGAATTATACTCCTTGGTTTTATGATAAATTAATGGCCTAATGGTTACTTTTTATGCTTTAAGTTCCGAGTTTAGGCGAGATTTATATAGCGCAGGACAGTCAAAAGATCGTAAAAACCTTCAACCACAGTCATGAGCTATTTAGGCAGTATGATGTATCATATCAAACAAAATGATACCAAGTTTACATATTCTAGTTAATAAATGAGTTAATTAACGGGTCAGGTTTTAATTGGAGAATTTTAAATCAATTCATATCCGATTAATTAAACTGAGTTTCTATTTATGTCCATTTCCGACACATATTTGTGGAGAGGTACACTGTTTTGGTCTTGTATATGTATTTTGATATTTTATTAGTATAACAATTTAAATAGCCTCACATTTTGTATATAATTGTGGACTAAAATTATGTATTTATTGGAAAAAGCTCCAGGTATATTTGCTATCCCCAAATACCTATTTTTTTATTTCATACATACTTGTTAAAAGACAATAATAAAATCGAATACATAAATAAAAATAACTCTTTGATAGTGACATTTTCTGTTGTAAAAAGAATTATAAACAATACCAAAGATCTGAAGAACAATTCTATTGAAAAATGTAAAAAATAATCATGTTATCTTGACAAATACTTCTTGTCAGTAAATGAAAATAAATATGAGATATTTTTTGTTACCGTAACAACCCATCTGTCAACAAATCCACACAGGCGACATTGAGTGACCGAGAGGGATCGGCCTTTATGCAAATCACGTCGTTATTGACAGGCCTCGGAAATTATTTTAAGGTTACTTGTGTGTGAAGATGTTACGGACCCTAGCTAGTGAAATAAATACATTTATAACGCGCGATAACCATCTCCAATGAACCGGGAGCTAGCCTGGTGTAGGATTATAGCCGTGTATTCACCGACCGTGAAAATACAAATAGCTCGCATTTCAGAGTCAAACACATTTTCATAAAACATAAGGGGTTTTATGCAGGGCGTTGAAAGGGAAATTTGCGCGAAACAACCTGAGAACTTGAGAGTAGATGTCCTAACCTGTCTAAAAACTGTTGAAGGCTGGTACAATGTATATATGAAGTGCTGAGAAACCACAGTAATGTCTTCACAAAACATTGGCCATACAACTAGGCCTTGCTGCTGCATGTGTAATTCAGCTCGCATTAACTCAACCATTAAGTTGATTTACGGCAGGGGAGCCCGATGACTAGTCATCGCTCAGTGACATGAAATATTTATCTTATTTCCACAAACATTCTGTCTATCTCTCTCTATATTTGCATTCTAAAACAAATAAAAAATAAATACAATACCTCCATTTACGGCTGCTCGCATCCATGGATATACTGCCATATTTTGTTGAGAAATTCCATTAATTGATGACGGATTTGTGGAAAGATGTGGATGGTGTGGGTTCAGTTCCTGACCCGATATTGAGGGGATCTGACCCACAGATTGGTGCTGTTCATGTAAAGGGTAGGTAGGCGGAGGGGTGGGGATGCACCCCTCCTCAGTTTTAACACAGCTCGGTCGGTCATCCTGGTAAGGTGAAATCCCATGCAAATGATTAGAATGGCTAAAATTGTGTGAATTTTGATAAGGATATATGCTACCGTTTCCACCGGGACAGTATCCTTGCTGTTTAGCTACAAGGTTCATAGGTTGGATCTGGTTCTGAGAGTCTAATCTCTCGTACATGGGATAACAATTATAGTTACCCATGCTGTATGTCGAATTTTCATTTTCGTAACACATATTATGAGTTGACGTTGTATGATATCCTGCCGAATGATGGTTGTCCGCTGACTTTTCCGCGCGTGGATAGAACACATCCGAATGTCCAGCGTTAGCAGCCATGTGTGCCGGCAGTAGGTTTCCTAGGTAGGAACTCATAGCCTCGATACACTTAGTATTATTATCTTGTACTCAGATGATTTGTGTTTTTAGTGACGAGTTAACCGACCATCGTTGTACGTACAGCGTCAGTCAGGTAGCCACCCCCACTACTGAACAACTACCATTTTCACTTCAGAACATTATGCATGTGACTTTTACTTTTATCCAATCAGAAGCGAGCGCCGTCCCACGTGACTAATTGATTCTGTTTTGCCTCGTGACGTAGATCGGTCGGTTCCTTTGATGTGGAATAATAGCTTGTTGTAGTTTTTCCTGAAATTGGAAAGAATGAATGTCAACACTGTTCGACTATTGAGGATATATTAGAATTATTATAATGTTAAATACAATACGCATACGGACCACTCAAAATTGGAGAAAAATAATAGATGTTGTGGAACGGGGTTTTAAAAGCATTCTTTTGACGTGAAACAGATGACTGATAAATATTTAGCCAGGGGGCTGGTCTATATACTGACATGCTTGAGTGACCCCCATTCACACTTACACGTCCCGGTACGTACAAGTGTAGGGCTATATTCTAACCACATATCGCCCCAGTTTAATATCGTTAACACTTCACTGATTCTACCGAAGACTTCATGAGGAAAACTGAATAATTTAGATTTTTATTTTGTATTCTATTTTTTTATTTTCTACCGACATTCTCTTTGAAGATGGAAGGATGTTACCCCTCATGGTGCTTGCTAAATATGAAAAGAAAACATTTTTTCTTGCACCCTGGTGAGATATTCAGGGTTAATTGTGCGTTAGTAAGGAGAACGGTGATTGAATAACACTTCGGGTTCATAAAAAGCTCTACTTTTCGGCGTCGTCAGTGAAAGGCTAGGTATAAATGAAACGAAATTAAACAGTAAATTCAAGTCCAAAGAAATGAATTGTTCAGTTATTATCTTGTTCGTATCATACGATCCAGTAACTAGAGGTGTCTCGGTGTTTACGTATATACCTTTGTCAGGCCTTTGTTATAAGCTGTGTGAATACGATTTTCTCTGTTGGATTTCTATCACGATCGTTTTCGAGTTGAAAGATCACATACACCCGCGTATTTACTCGGGATCTAATGAGATTGAGATCTTATATCAAAGCAAACTTTGTTAATCTGGTTGAAATTGGATTTTTAAATGTTTTATTGTCTATGACAGATTACAGAGTAGAGGCTGCGGTGACGCAACGTATTTGTGTTATTTAATTAAAACAAATAACGATTATCAAAACAAATGTCTGGGCTCCATGATAACCCATGGGCTTCTTTAACTAACCAATTGTCAACGGTAAAAATGATCGTAAATTTAACGGATAAATATGTGCATGTTTACGCATGTTTAAAATAAAAAGTATGTTATGCATCGTTTGGATCTTTTTAAGAAATTAAATTAAATTCAAATATAATAAATTTTTACAAACAGTGTAGGGATTTTTATAATTGTATTCGTTTGGTATGCTGGTTCTGGTTGATGGTTTTAATGCAGATTTAAAATGAATAATAAATGTTATCAGATCGTAAATCTTCTGTGATGATGTGTGATCGGCGTTTTGGAAATTGTACCTGAAATTTAGATTTTCTAAAGATATAACGTGTTGCATGTATTTCACACATACAGCTAAAACAAATGGTCGTATCGGTTTATGACTGTTCGCATTTGAAATAATAACATAAATATATCCAAAAATTATTTAAACAGATAAATATTTAATCTATACATTAATAAATCTCAAAATTATCAAATATTAAGGAGTAGTGATAATAAATCTAAGTCATATCTGTAGTTAAAACAATTGAACTTGGTGATCGATGCAAAAGCTTGCTAATGTTAATTGTATTAATTCACTATCTCATCGCATCTGACCCAAATATAAATAGGTGACAGTATTTAATATTGATATAGATGATAAATTATGATTTAGACCCAGACTTGAACAAATAATATTCAGTAACGCATAAAATTATCTCATAAGTCGACATTTATATAACACTTTACAGTCATATTTTTTTCAAAGGAATTAAATGAAAACAAAAAATAAGCGATTAATTTGAATAATATTTTATATTGTTATTGACGTACATTTTATTTTTTATTTTAGAAATATCAAGGTCTATGTATATTTGCCAAATCTAGCACGTGTGGTGAAAATAATGAGTATTTGCCAAATCTAGCACGTGTGGTGAAAATAGCATGTACATGACGGTAATGTTTTGTTGGTATTCTGTGGATTTATTTCTCGCTAATTGTCTGGTGTTATGGCGTGAATGTGCACTTTTACAATCATCTGTACAAATTGGGGGGCAATAAAACCACGCTAAATCCGGTCAGTTCTGGACAGTGCTATGAAATGGCAATGGTCAGTCTCAATGTCCAGTTATACAGAACCCGGCTATAAATCAGACACACGCTTCAAGATTGTCCTCGTATGACAAATGGGTGTCTTATTGCAGCAGACCATGCTACTGGACATTGGTCATCAATGTACTCCCTGCTAACGACCAGCGCGCACGTACACAACAACAGAGAAACCAAACCATTTCTCTTGTTAGGAAAAATGTACTTTCTTTCAGAACAAATGAGCTCCAATCCATTGACCTTGTTAGCGAACATTGTTTTCATTTGGGAAAACAGTTGACCCGCAAATCATTAGCTGTGCTAAGGAAAATGGGTTTTTATTGTGAAACAGGCAGCTAAATATTCAATATAAACAAATACAAACAATTTATGAATGTTTATTATGGAAAAACTATCCTTGTTAAGCTATGTATAAATGTGTTTATTATGGTAACATATTTTTACCATTAGTCGACCTAACTGCTTAACAAATATACATTAAAAGATATTTTATATATATTATGAGACATATGGGAATTTGTAGGGTAACATAACGTATTTATACGTATTTAGATCATTTCATATTATATTGAAACCTCTGAGGAGCTTCATGACCTTCGCCAATATTTTATACAAACATATTTTCTATATATGCATTTTACTATCACGCACGTGAACTTATAATTAGGACGGGTGACAGATAATTAACGGAAATATAATTGCAGACTGTTTATAACCGGAAATATGCAAAGTATATTTTGATGTATGTATTCGAGAAAGGGCCACTCTAAGTTGGTAATCTTGTTGACCGACCTTTCGTACAAATTTACAAATAGTATGTTATAACTATAACTAGATTATATACGTATATTTAATTCATTTATAAAACGACAACACACTGCTCGTTTGAAGTTTTATCTATATAGCGATATCCTTTCACCACATGGATTATTTTGATCAAGACAATAATGTAACTTTTACATCAGAAAATGTTAAGAGAATAGCATGGCTTACGATCAATAATAATATATCGAAAATATAAAAGTCTTGTCGAATGAACTTTAGACATAACAGGAAACAAGGCATCTCGTATTGTTAAATTTCTGTTTTTTAGGAAGAGGGAATCATTTCTGGGGGTTTATATTTTGTTTTGTCGAAATATATAGGGGGTTCCAACAAATTGGTGATTTGTCAGGGTAATGTTTGTAAACATCTAAACAGCGTAAATGTCTGGTAATGTCTATTTTGATGGGGTAAGGAGTGAATGTGTTATCCCAGACAACAAACAGGTGAGATCCCCTCATGTGTAACAGTAACGTCCATTATCCACAAACCCAGAGTTACCTATTTATTATCTACTATGTAACTTGATCTAATTTTTCACTCATCAATTTTCAACAAAGGTTTCCCTAACGTCAATCTTATTAACCTGCATATCGCTTTATAGAACCTCTATCATATATGTGTTGTGGTATTAATTTTCTTCGTTTTGCAACAGCATAAAGCTTAATAAAAAGTAAAACAGCTCACAATACTATTTTGAACTATAACAAATATAGAATATTTGATATTAATTATTGTTCGTGATATATCAAAATGTTTACATATGCAGATAAGGGGGAAATGTCATAGTAGGACAATTGTAGCGGTTAGGTCGATCAAAGGATGCGCATGCGCGACATTTTATGTCGAAATCTCCCATTTCACTTGGCCCAACGGTATTACCTGCCTACCATAAGTTATTCACTTTGAAGGAGAAAAAATGCCAAAATCATATTATGAATATGTAATATAAACGCGAAGCAGAATCTGAATGATAATGAGTATGTTTTGTTTGGAAGCTTTTGATCCATTGAAAACATTTACGGTCACAGTAGTGTTTGAATAAGAAATTTGCATGAATGATATATCGAAAATCGAACAGAAAATATTTATACTGAACGTTTTAGAAAAACTATGTGTAACATATGCTTAGGTGATATTTTCAACGTTAAACATGAGAGTGATATATTAAAATGTATATTAAAAATATCTCTGAAGTCTGCAGCAATGCGATATTGAATAAGTTTTTTGATTGTTCAATATTTACGTTTGTTAATCAAAACGTTTCTGACTCACTATAAAAACTAAACAATGGCCAGAAAATAAAGAATCAACAACGCAAAATGTAAATGCGAGATGTTAAGAGTTGAGGTATAAGTAAAATTTGAATACAAAATTAATGTATAAATATTAACAATTTTATCACATCTGTAGTGGCAGGAGTTTTAAAAGCTAATTTCTTACTAATTTCCTTTTTTTATGAAAAGTCAGGAAATATATTCTATAAAGACATCTTGTATATATACAATCGATATCAGTTGCATTTAATTTGTTCATGAGGGTGACAAGATTAATTTAAAATATATATATTCAAAAGTTTGTATTTGACCATTTTCTTCATTGACTATAGATACAAAGCTTCAAACAATAATATCTTCAAATCTCATATCGTCATTTGCATTAACATTGTTTTCATTATCATTTATATTCGAAAATACTATTACAATGTTTTGTAGGATTGTTTATACTTTAATTGTAGTAACATAGATATATTTTGTAAACACGTCACAATTTTGCCATCCTTTTTGATTTTATAGCGAATGCATCGCTGTGTATCTTAGGAAACCAATAAAATTAAAACCTGAAAAAAACCCTAGATAAAAACATCGCTCGATTCCCCGTTTCTGCGTTTACCATCATAACGCGTTTTAATCAATATAAATAGTTTAACATTGTATTCATTCAGGAGAACCAATGAATTCATA